TTCCATAGTATAACTGCAAATAAGAAGTACGTACATATATATACAACTATACACGGTAGTGCAAATAATGCTTCCACAGTATACTACAAATAAGAAGTACGTACATATATATACAACTATACATGGTAGTGCAAATAATGCTTCCATAGTATACTACAAATAAGAAGTACGTACATATATATACAACTATACACGGTAGTGCAAATAATGCTTCCACAGTATACTACAAATAAGAAGTACGTACATATATATACAACTATACACGGTAGTGCAAATAATGCTTCCACAGTATACTACAAATAAGAAGTACGTACATATATATACAACTATACATGGTAGTGCAAATAATGCTTCCACAGTATACTACAAATAAGAAGTACGTACATATATATACAACTATACACGGTAGTGCAAATAATGCTTCCATAGTAATCAGAATCTCAAGATAATGAACTGGATACAATGGTCCATCAGTGTCCTCTAGTCTTAAATCAAATACCAGCATCACCAACAACAAAATCAATGTATTACCTGTAAAAAATCACAAGTATATATTGACAACTGAATTACCAATTATCGATGTCGAAGTACGATCTGTTGGAATCGATTTCAGCGAATAAACGACATTGTTTTTCCAAAAAAATGGTAACTATACATTTTTGAGAGGTGAATTGAATATGGCATGAAATATTTACCGCATTTTATTAACAGATCATTGCCGAAGCGTAGTTTACGCACGGTTACCGTGGTCCATGCATTTACAACATATTCACAGCGGTCGATATCCACGCTGTATCATACAAAAACGATTACCAAGATTCGTTACGCAAGACCAAGTTTTAAATTGAAGGGGTGGGCGCAAATTGCGCAAAAGTGGGGGGTGGTCGCTTGCCTGGGCATGGGCTAACGCGGTCAAGTACGGTATATGAACGTTTCTCAATAGCTGTGTTCATGCATGTTATAGTACTGGCCACGATCAAAGCTATGGTAATCAATCTCATATGTTTGTAAATCGACTAGACCCATTTGCGTTCACACATTGGGGAGAAATACTCGTATCAACTAATTAACTAAGAATACCGGTATACTCAGTATAGTAACCAAGGTAAAGGAATCTTATTTTATTTGGATTCTGGTACGCCAAAACTAGGTTATATGTAATTTACTGAATACTAGGGTATATTTCTCAGAAATTTTTTTTTTTTTAAAAACTTGTGTTCATGCATTGTTTTATTATGTTTGTTTGTTTATTGCAAAGCAAAAGGCCATTGGCCCAAAAGCAAATACAATTTTACTTAACAATGGTAACAATATAATAGAGGGCGTTATGCGTTGAACACTGTCTCCTGTCAGCACTATTAATATCTACGCAATGTTTTATTATGATGATACGTAAAACCACAGTGAAACAATGTTAGCCTTGCCCAAAGATACTCACCTACTGATACAACAACAAATGGAATTCTTCGAATATTTTTCGTTTGTCGATAGAACTCCAAATATCCATTTCTTCTCGACATGTAATGATGATACCGGAGATATCTTTCGATAAGGGCGATTACCAACCACAGAGCAGCATGAATATATACGAGTAGTGAAAACGAACACATGTAATGGTGGGAGGGGCCTCCACAGATACTGGAACTGACAGACGTAAGCATTGAGGATGATGAATTATCCTTTGTTATGTGGGGTTCAATTCCATATGGCAGTATATAACTTAACAGTGTAAATAAAATCTGAAAAATAAAAATTGGAAAATAGGCTGCCTCAGATGTGGATTTGGAAACAGATTCACATTATGTAATGTCAAAATCAAACTTGATCAAGATTATCATTACTATTACTGTAGAATACTTTATTTTCGCTTGGAATTTATTTTCACTATTTTCGCTGAAGGGATGATTCCGTGAAAATAAAATCCAGCGAATATACTAATTTTTCTATATTTCATATTAAACTCATCAAAAATCAGTGAAAATAAATTCCATACAAAACGCCCAAAAAGCCTTTTCAGCGAAAATTAATTCCAGCGAAAATAAAGTATTCCACAGTAATACATAAACACTATTCAATTTGTTCTCATGTTCTTGTGTGCAGTTAGGCCAAATAGAAAAATACATGTGATTCCAATAACCCTACCCTTCCTTGAATGTATTGCTTATGCTAAACTTTTGTTGGCCAAGCAAAAAATGAAGCAAAATCACTCAGTATTTTAATAACACTTGAAATTGTAGGTTCATTGGTCAGCACATTCAACTTACTTGTAGTATTGGGCCACATGTTCCAAAATCAATAACTGAGTGGCACCAGTAGCTGCTTCTATTTTTTGTCTTTATCTTGTGTTCCCCTACCCATGTGCAAACAACATAAACGCTCTTGTGTTGTTGTATTTATCCATGTTTCAACATGTGCAGGATAAAAGCAAAAGTTTCTCACATTTCACAATTTCAATGACTCAATTTTTCAGAGAAAAGCTGAATGACTACAATACCAAATTCAATATTCTAAGCAATAAAACTGAAGCTGGTCATAAAAGCTCTGCGTACAACAACATATTTATGATGTCTAGAAGTATACCATTTGCATACTAATCTTTTCACCACCAGTTCCCTCTTTTCATCACAAATTCACAAAATAGTCTGCACTTTTCTTCAGAAGATTGGGACAAAAACAGACAAAATCAACTAAAATTTTGTCTGTTGGCTCCAAATTTAGTGTTCATTTCGAGAAATATTGAAGAATATAAGGAAAAAAAGTGCAGAAAAATTTGGGCGAGAAAGTCTGGTGGTGAAAAGGCTAAATCAACCATGTATACAGCAGCCTGCCAGTGAAACGTTTACTAAGCAATGTTATTTAACTCGAGCCTAGCTTCACGCTTGTTGAAATGAATAGACAACAATACCATGAAAGTTTACTGCAAAACTAAAAACAATGCTGCACATGCTTCACTATGATTTTGGAGAAATGTCAGTACCATGAATGTAATAAAATAATAATAAATAATAAAACAAACAACACATAGAGGGCGCTATAACTCCTAAAGTCAAAATACAAGTCAGAACAATGTCATTGTACTAGTTTCCATCAGGCCTTATCAATTGAAAATGGCAGGTGAGCTGAAATTAGCTCTTCTGAATGCAGTGATGGGAGTGATGAGAGGAGCTATGCTATTAAAATCTCTTCAACATTGTCTGAATCGTGAGTATGAGAATTTGCTCTTCTGGGTCATGATAGACAAGTGGAGTGATCGCTCTCCTCAAATAATATGCCCTGTTTACATGTGGGCATGACATGATTGACTTTGAAAGTACATATTCAATTCCCCAGTTAATGATATTTTCAAAAAATTAATTTATTTCATACTTATGTGAACAATATGTGAATAAGAAAAAAAATAATTATGATAAATTATGAATATTACGATTTTTGGAAATGCACACTATGGAAGTAAAATGACAGATTCCTCATACACAAAGCCTCAATACCAAAATAGCGTAATTTAAATCAATGTTATTACTCATGAATCAACATAGGAAATGAACTTACAAATATTCCCGCTTGGCATACTGATATACATACTGTTGGCATCGGTCGAAATTTAGTTTCAAGTTCAGTATGGAGATGATGATCTACTAACTGCTCTTGGTCATCTGCTGGTGGGGTCAGTGAAGAATCAACATCAAAGAAATAACCCTGCAAGAAAAAAAAATAATATTTGTAGAAATCCATGATGTAAGTAAATAAATCATCCTTCACGATTGAAAATAAAAAAAATTGGTTCGGAAACTTTGCCTCTCATTACCATACCGTTACCATAGTTCAGCTGTAGTTCGCAGTATTTGGGGTCCAGATAGTTCCTACGCTGCATCTATTGTACACATAGCCAAGCATACAAGAACAATCAACAGGCACAATGAAGGACTGATTCAGATTCAAAACGGATAACGTGATCTAAAATATTTGATTTTTTGAGACACAAATTTTCTGAATTGTAAACACAGGAAAGACTAAATACTATTCATCCTGATTGTGAATGTTTGATAAAATTTGTTTTGTACAATTGTGATATTTTCAAATTGCAGTTTCATACTTTTCCTTCTTTTGTGTTCCAGCCACAAAGTTACATAATCTGGCTAGGTTTATATCTCTCGCTTTGAAGAGATATTTAACAGCTTTCAGTGCAATATGACAAATAACTATATATCTTTATTAAACATGTATATCTTAGGACTGCAGAGCCTATTTTACGGAATAATAAATAAGTTTATCTATCCAGGAAAATCTCTTCATGTATAAATCGCAATCACTTCCCCTTTTCGCATACAACATCACACTATAATGCTAAAAAGAACACATCCTTCCGGCAGGAGATCAAATCTGAATCTGAAAACTTCTTGCTCATATACATTTACGCGATCAAAATAAATGAAAAAAAAAGTAGATAATTTTATACCAGACTCAAAATATGGGGTCTGCCTTAGATAAAAAACGCCAATTTCAGAATATAAATGACAGATAAGATCGTGGCGTAATAATTTTAAAAACATTCAACTGTTAATAATATTGCTCTTCACCATTCAGCAATTCATCACTTACCCCCTGTCTGCTGCTATTTGTACCGAGGCTAACCATTGCTGTATCGAATTCGCAGTGATTGAAACAATTTTCAACACAGAATGTTGTTACACTTTCACGGAGAGCAGGTAATCACAACGACTGTGATCAGAACCTTCTTTTTGTATGTCATCCGCCATTTTGATTTCTGATCGTGAGACTCGGGGTCAAAGGTTACATGAGGTGAATGGTCACAAGTAGTTGCGCATATATACGAGATTTTAGAATGAGACTTCGCAACCAACCGCATCCTTCCATGCTCATTGTAAACGTCACATCATGGAGGTAGAAATGGTCACATCGTGTGTAAATTAATTTATTAATGTATTTTAGTTAGTTCTTTTCATGTATAAATTGATTAACAAAAAAAGAGGGGAATTCATAAATTTATCTTCAGTAGGTCATATAATGTTGTATAAGCTAGGTAGTCGCCAGGGAACTCCCCACTCCAGTTGTGGCTCTTTGCGGCTCCCTTGCTCGAAGACTCAAGGGAGAATGCGGGGGTGGGGTTGTTGTCATAAGTGGTTAGGTTTGTCATCCAGTTATGTATTTCATTTTTTGTTGCAACCCATTAACACCAAATCATTTGGGATAGTTGTTCAGACTATCCTGAACAATGTAACAAGATTACCCGCTACACGTGCAACATATATTAAATTTGGTTGCCCAGGATTATTTCAAAGTTGAGTTTGTGTTGTTTTCTCGACTTTACCTGTTTTCACCGGCTTTTCGCTCGGCGTTCCACAGCAGCCCACGTCTTAGCAATAAGGAACGTTCTGTGACGTAGCTCCGCCCCGAGTTATGCAGTGAATTTATTCTAGTATTACTAAGTGCGACCTTATCATAGGACTCATTTTCTACTGATCCACTTCATTTACAATACATCATTTAGAACACTGAGACAGAGTCTTGCCGTACGCCTTTACATGTGTCAAAAAAACTCGGTCACCGTATTTTCAAAATGAATGCAGGCTTTAATAATATTAGCATTCATATTTTAAATAATTTTGTAAATTTTATCATTAATTTAATAGACTAGACTTTTCTCCAGGCACTAAAGAGGACAGAAAAACAAACTTGGTGGTGATATACTCACTATACCAGTTTTCGGACAGTCGGACCTTTACCGTGACCAATAAAACCGCTCAAATAATCTAAACCAAAAGATAAAAACGTGATATTCAACAGATGATCAGCCTGAGCCTGTTCCTGAATAAGTTTTCGCCGACGATGGCGCTGTTCACAGGAGTTTAATCTTGTCAAGTTCATCATCATAGACTATTCCAACTACTAAACAGCGTTCTAAACTTTCTCAAACACCGAAAACTGGATCGAAATCTGATGGGACTAGAAAAGTGTGACCATTGCAATTCTCCTTTCTGTACATTTTCATTTTTCTTAAAAAATGTAAACATTTTTACATACAATTTTTTTACTTGGTGCCTAGCTTCAAGTTACACATTATGTTTCAACTAATCTTCCATCCCATGATTTCTAATGGTACATCCCTAAACCGTCAACGATGCAATTGTGAAATTGATTTTCCTGCTAATGTAACCTGTATTAATTTGATACCGGTAGTTGGATCATGTGATGAGAGGTTCATGATCAACAATTGGTCACCCGATGACCATTGAAGTCTAAAACCCCGGGTCTAAAACATCCAGTGAGATTGACCTGAACAGAAAGTTTTATTCAACCTACCCTTGGTGGCGCACTTTTACTTTCTCTTTTTGGCCTCGTATTTTCTGCAGCTATCATAACATTGTACATTGGCGCTCGTCGCAGTATAACTAATCAATGAAAAGAGTGCTACTTAAACAAACAACACGTGATTTTGGTTTTTAATAATTCAAATTTATTTATTTTTCCTGTTTACATAAATCTGCTACTGCCTGTTGTCGATCACAGTAAAGCATACAATGTAACTTTGTGGAAACACAATTATACTGAATCACTGACCGTAGCTTTTGTGAGAACTACATGTATGGTTAAATTCCCGCTCTGTATGTATGTAGAAGGTGTCACATATCGGGGGACAATTGTTTGCACGACCGGCGAAATCATTGTTTCCGTTTAGAAGTTAACCTAAAAAGATCAATCAATCATTCTGCATAGATTCGTTTGGATTAGAAACATTGACGTGAAGATGATTTCTTACTTTGTTTATTGATGCTGCTGGAGGATTGCCCTCAGGACAATGCAAGACAGTGAATTGTAAACAAAGCCTATCAGAGTCACGGTGGTCCGTTTCTTCGTGATAGTAAGTATAGATGAATTAACACAAATTTGCATATGAATTTTTGTTTTGTTATTATCATCATTTTTATGTTATTTTATTTTATTGTCTTTCTTGTTTGTTTTTTTAACCACACTTTATTGTAATTTAACTCAATATCCTATAAAGGATTATTATGATTGACTAATGAATATTCATGTTATTTCAATATTTTCATTATGCAGATAATAACATTAATATTCATTAGCCAATCATATGCAAATGTATGTTAATTAATCTATATTGACTTGGTAACTACTGAATACTGGAAATGAGTCTGGGTTGTCGTCGATCCGCAAAAAGTTTGATATTGGACTCATAGCGACGCACACGACGCATGTAAAATACATTTCACCACAGTCTCTGATAGAGGGACTGTGATTGCACCATACAGAGAAACCCAAACACGCGTGACGACCAACTTTAACATATTTTAAATGAAATGGATGTAATGTTGTCAATTAGAGTAGGCTGGTACCTTTAAAGACATGTTTATTCTCATAAATATACCTACAATAAACTATAAAACAAACTGTTCTCTCATTAGAGGTCGATCATTCGAAATTATGGGGATGGCTGGAAGATTTGTTTTAAAAAATGACACAGAGCTAGTCACAGACAAAAACACATAATTGCATGTAAAATCAAGGAAAATGTACAGATAAAAGAACTCGAAAAAATGGACTGGTCACACTCTTCCAACCACCCCTCCAATGATTTAATTATACACTAGAAGAGTCCGCGAATAAGTCAAAAATATGTGTAATTGTTGTTTAAAAAATAAATTAAAGTTTATAAATAGTTTAATAACTGACTGCTGACTGCAGTGTATGTGCATTTAACACAATATGCTACGAATATGGGAAGACAAATTGAATGACAATGTCTGTTTAACAAGATGACAACACAATCGTATTTACATTTATAATATTAAAGGACAATGTTAGAATTTTATGTAAATAAACAATGTATTTTCCACGCGTTGTATACGTCGATATGAGTCCCACATCGAACAGGACGCGGCACGACGATCACCGCCCTATAATTATTACGAATTTAATATACTGTAATGTAAGAATAAAACTTTTTTAAATTTTTACATTCATTTGAGAAAAGTTATATATGATCTAAAGTAATATATATACTCGTAGTTTGCTTTCCCACCAGTATTTTTTGGCCACAGCTATAAATGATCAAGGTTACGTATTTATATCGTGACCAATGATGCCAGAAATCATATATAACACAAAGGTTGGCCAGTGCAGTCGGTTGGAGCTCAGACTAGTAATTATATTACTTGTCTGAGTCTGAAGAGTGACCTAACTAATACGTGACAGGACAACCAGTTTACATAAACACAATTAGAAGCATGTATAGAAATAATGCAGCGTATGTTTGAATTTCATGTAATTAAACAACGTATTTTAACTAGTATTTACTAACTTTAACCTCCATATTCGTACTACTATATTTGTTTATATACATTTCAGGTTTTTTTGTGGACCAAAGACCATGTGGAAAACAGGGACATCCAACTGCGGCAAACATACAAGGGTGTATAATGACGTTCCGTGCGACGACTCTTGGCTCATCACATTTAATTACTTAAAGCATATGTGTGTGCACAATAAGTCAGCAACCGTCCATATCATACTTTTTCCAGCCGTTTATGAAAGCCGCTTCTAAAATCATTCTGTATTACGTCCAAAGCATACTAGATTGGGTAGCACTGATCCTATTACTTTTGCGTAGATTAGTTGTTTCAAAATCATCAAACAAAGATATCATATGCATATTATCGTTTCATATTGGATGAGCCACAGAACATAGCGTAACTATTACAATGTTGTCCATTTACAGTCTAGATTAGATAACAAATGTATGGATGGAGAACAAACTAACGATGCAATGTTTTTTCTTTTCGTGGCAAAAGTGAGTATAAAAGTTCAAAAACAATGCAATAGTATATTTAAACATTTTGTGCTGATAATACCGGTTACAATTTCATTTTGAACAATTCTGATTAAAAATGGATAACAATGAAGTCATAATCATTACATACCATACAAAGTTAAATAATATTCATGTTCCTCGAATAAGGCTTCATGTACTTTAATAATCTCAATGTTCTTGTAGAGTTTATATAACATGGATTGTATAAAAGTTCGTAAAATGACAGTAAAGCTAACATGTTCCTCAATTGAAACTACATGTACTGCATCAATCTCAATGTCCCTCATAAAATAATATAGTACGAATTTACAAGTTTTCAAATAATAGTACAGTATATATTTTATCCCCTTGTATACCTGGACATTTATCTACGATGATACATGTATGGACAAGGCAAACAAATTACCCTGTCAACTGTCAAATCTAAGTACATTTGTAACTTGGCAGTATTATTGAAATACAATTTCAGGTCATATATGTCAAACAGTTAATTTTGAAGACAATTTCAATGATGCAGTGGTTGATGTGTGCACGCCATAAAAATAGCATCATAAACAATTAATATCAACCAAGAAAGCATATCTTGAAACGGACATATCAAAGCAAATAAAACAAGGAAGTGATAACGTAATTAGCACACTTTGTCAATCAGAATGAGAAAAAGAAACATGGACTTCGATTATTGCATGATGAAAAGCAGTGAATTCAGCGGTTTACCCTGCTAAACATTATACCCAGGTGTCCGTCATGCATATAGAACTTTGATAATGACTTTTCAAAGACTGGGATCCGTGTTGTACAGAAGCTTGTCAATGAACTCTTCAGGTTGGCAACCACCATGCACAGAAGTTTGTCAATAACGTCTAAAAATCTTGGATGCACCATATATAGAAGCTTGTTTACATTTATTTATTGAC